TGATCATATAAATTACCTACTTTATTATAAGAACTTACTCAATCAATTTGTTGTTGATATGATGGCAAAAATGATCACAGAACGTTTACTTTACTTGCGAACACATCAAAAACAACTGCGTGCTGAAAGTTACATTCATCTACGAGATGCAATAAATAATGATCGTAACATTGAACCCTCCAGTATCGGACAGCCTGTAATATTACCATCCTCATTCACTGGCTCACCGCGATATATGCATGAAAAAACTCAAGATGCAATGGCTTACGTACGTGGGTTTGGGCGTCCATGTTTATTTATCACTTTCACGTGTAACCCTGAGTGGTCGGAAATAAAAAATGAATTACACAAAAATCAAAAACCTTCAATCCCCGGGCGAGTGGTGTTCGAGCCTAGGGCTGTTGTCCGAGGGGCGGCTCTCCCAAAAGGGGGAGGAGGGGCAGTACTTTTCTTGGGGGCATGGTTGTCATGTTTCGGCAGTCCACTCAGAACAAAGGTGTTTGTCGCGAAGCCCGGCATACCGGCTACCGCTGAGACGCTTTGTTCATGAGCAAGCGAAATAAATCGGTTTTTACCCCGGATCGCCAAAATAACCAAGTGCCATAGAAAAATAGGCGTTCGAAACATCAACGTCTCAGGCGTAATACCAAGAGACGTCTGGCCAGAGCTCAACCTGCTTCACCAACACTACAGGGTTTGGAAGCCCTTTTTCCATCGAACCTGGTCCTACAAGAGCAAGCCAGGCAGAACAACCACGAAGAGCGTGAGCAGACACATCGGCTGGAAGGTTTACCAGCCTCCTCCTCAGTAGTTGGTCGCGAAAGGAACTCCACGAAGAAGGTATTCTTCAGGCCCACTACCCTGACTAACAGTCAGCAGATAGTGATCCGGGGAATGATCCGGAAACGAAATTTTCTTCGGTCAGCCACATACCTTTCTCCAGCACGTTCTCCATTTGCAGACACTCCAAAGGCAGGGACCAAGTAACTTCGGGTCCAGATACCCGAGCTCAGTGATCCAGGTCGACTGAGCAGAGTTAAGTGTCAAATGTTTGCCGTTTACCAAACGCCTAATACAGTGTGTCAAATCATCGATCCTTACCAGCTCACCATCATTAGGAAAAAAAAAATAAAGATCACAACCAGCCCTTTTCAGGGTCATCAATAAATTCTACTGTAAAGTAACTGCCTTCAATCTCATCGGTCCTATTAAGGGCCATTCAACGTTGAACTACTTTTCGAAAAAAATATATATATTTATTAAGACTGCTGTTTCAGACTAATGTCTTACAGCAACATACAGCTAATCAAGGATCTGCCCTTTGCTGGCAGACATCGAGAGCAGAGCTGTTTGTCGTGAGTCTGGGAACCCCGACCACCGACGACCTTCTACACTCGAATTACATAGGCCCGAAATTACTTTTCCTCCAAGATGAGCGCTCAGGTAACTTGGTCAATCTCATTGGCCCTTTTAAGGGCCATTAAATGTTGAACCACTTTGCCAAAAATAATCTTATTTGTACTTTTTGACAAATGTCTTTGAGCGAATTACAACGATTCGTCCAACAGGGATGTATTTAAAGACAGCTGATTTCAAAACTAAGTCAGTCATTTACTGGCAGACATCGAGAGCAGAGCTGATTGTCGTGAGTCTGGGAACTCCGGCCACCGACGACTTTCTACACTCAAATTACATAGGCCAGAAATTACTTTTCCTTCAAGATTAGCGCTCAACTAACTTAGTAAATCTTATCGGCCCTTTTCAGGGCCTTTTAACGTTGAACACCTGCCAAAGTATATATTATGATTGACAAAGTTTACAAAATACAGCACTTTTTAGGGCACGCAAAAATTTTTAACAATGCCTCGAATCGCAAGAGGGCGAATCGGGAGGAGAACTAGTAATGCTTTAAATGTTTACAACTTTAGGAGTCGAGAAACTGATGCAGAACATTCAACGAGAGTAGAACAGCAACGTCAAAATCGACGACTGAACAACCATTTAAGTGACAGATCCGCTTTCTGTTACAATCCGGACATTGATTACTTGAATCTTCCATCAATTCAAATTGGCGGAATGGTTTCTATTTACACTCATTGCGGCGCTAAAAAATGGAAAGATGAAGCTCCAGGGCTCTGTTGTTTTGGTGGTCAAGTTTCCCTTGATCGATTGGAAAATTCTCCTGAATTGGTAAGTTGTCTGTTGATGGACGAACACCCCCTATCAAAACATTTCCTTGATAACGTCAGACGTTACAATACGCAATTCCGAATGACGTCATTTGGAGGGAAAGAAATTAGAGAAGGAAACTTTATGCCAACTTTCAAAATCCAAGGTCAAGTATACCACTTAATAGGTAGGTTATTTTCTGAACAGAACAAGAGTCCGCAGTGCTTACAAATCTATTTCATGTCTGAAGCAGAACAAATTTCCATTCGGTCAGATAATGCCCTAAAAAAACATTGGATCATTACAAAAAGGGATGCATGATTGCAATCCTCTTATAAAAACTTTTAAATCCAATTATGACTCTTGAACAGTAGATGAACTTGAAAACTTAAAATTGATTATTTATGCCGACCGAACCCCTGTTGGGGAGCATCGATGACGATTCAATGCGCCTAGAGTGAATAAAGTTGCTGTACTAATAAATAACGAGAAAAAAGGCCCTAGAGACATAATTCTACATAGTCGACATGGGCGGTTGGAGCGAGTTTTTGAGCTCCACCGATTCTATGACATCTTGCAATATCCTCTTATGTTTGTTTTCGGAGAAGATGGATATTCTATTGATATACCACTTCACGGTCTTCCAAACAAAACTGTTTCTTGCATACAGTTCTACTCTTATAGGTTTATGTTAAAAAATAATCATATAAATTACCTACTTTATTATAAGAACTTAATCAATGTGTTGTTGATATAATGGCAAAAATGATCACAGAGCGTTTACTTTACTTGCGAACACATTAAAAACAACTGCGTGCTGAAAGTTCCATTCATCTACGAGGTGCAATAAATAATGATCGTAACATTGAACCCTCCAGTATCGGACAGCCTGTAATTTTACCATCCTCATTCACTGGCTCACCACGATATATGCATGAAAAAACTCAAGATGCAATGGCTTACGTACGTGCGTTTGGGCGTCCATGTTTATTTATCACTTTCACGTGTAACCCTGAGTGGTCGGAAATAAAAAATGAATTACACAAAAATCAAAAACCTTCAGACATGCATGACATTGTTTCAAGGGTTTTTCACTTGAAATTGAGGAAACTTATAGATGTTCTTACTAAGAAAGCAATATACGGCGAAGTTGATGCTTGGATCTATAGTGCCGAATGGCAAAAACGAGGGCTACCTCCGCGGATCCCTTGCTATTCAGTATCATTTCGAAAAGTATGTATCATGGACCTTGCGGCGAATTCAACATGGCTTCACGATGTATGGATAATGGAAAATGTACAATAAAGTTTCCTCGAAATTTTGAGAAAGAAACTCAAAGTTCAGATGACGGCTACCCGACCTATCGTAGAAGAGCCCCTGCAGATGGAGGTCATAGTTTTGTACTTACAATTCGTGGCAAAGAAGTACAGATTGATAACCGTTGGGTTGTACCGTACTCACCCGTCTTATCTTGATGTTTCAATGCACACATTAACGTCGAATTTTGTCATTCAGTGCAAGCAATTAAATATGTTTGCAAATATATCAACAAAAGATCAGACCGTGCCACTCAATAAGTTGGAAACATTGACAAAATTGCAAACTATGCCAATGGACGCTATATTTGTTCCTCTGAGGGATTTTGGCGTTTTTTGACTTTGAAATTCACGCACGGTAACCTACAGTCTTACATTTAGATATTCACCTTGAAAATTATCAAAGAATTTACATAAATCAGCAAAACATTCACTCGAAAATCCGAGAAAAACAACGTTGATGACGTTTTTTGAACTTTGTGTAATAGATGATTTTGCTAAAACTCTTTTGTATTCCGAAGTTGCCGCCTATTACCGATGGGACAGTAATAAATTTGTGGAAAAAAAACAGGGAAAAGATGTTCCAGGCTGGCCAGGAGTAAAAAAAGATTCAGCTATAGGTAGAATTTATACGATTCATCCCACCCAGTTGGAGTGCTTCCATCTTCGAATGTTACTCCAATATGTTCAAGGCCCAACTTTATTTGAGTACTTGAAAACCGTTGATGGTGTTACTTACGCAACTTTAAAATCTGCCTGTTACGCACTTGGTTTATTGGAAAATGATAATCAATGGAAAAAAACACTCGCATATGCTGCTTTGTCTGATAATCCATCTAAATTACGTGACTTATTTGCTATTATTTTAGTTTTTTATGAGCCATCGCAACCTCAAATTTTGTGGGATATGTTTAAACAACAATTATGCGAAGATATTCTTCACTCTCGATGAATTCAACTCAACGATTTTGAAGTTGAATTCTCTGAAGAAGTGTTCAACAGAGGTTTAATTGAAGTTGAAGACAAGATCATCTCTCTTTCAGAAAAAAATTTGACTGCATTTGGGCTCAATTCACCGGTTCGAGATGAACCCTATACTAATAATCCTTTTGAACATTCCATCAGACATGGTTATAATTATAACTAATTAATAACTACGTTGAGCAAAATCTTCTAAAGTTGGTTCCCCATCAACAAGCTTTTGATCGTATAATTAATAGTGTCTTAAATAGTAGTGGAAAAGTCTTTTTCCTGGATGCTCCTGGAGGCACTGAAAAAGCATTCTTAATTAATCTTATGTTGGCCCAAGCAAGATCGGCTTGAAAACTGTCCCTTGCTGTCGCATCTTTTGGCATTGCTGCCACTCTCTTGAGTGGAGGTAGAACAGCTCACTTCACTTTTAAAATTCCATTATGTGTTTCTTACGGAGAAGATTACACGTGCCCAATACGCAAAAATGGCCCACTTGCAAAAATTCTTCAAGATACAACATTTATTGTATGGAATGAGTGCACAATGAGTCACAGAGCTCACATTGAAGCAATTAATAGAACATTGCAAGATTTAATATTAAACCAGAATTTAATGGGTGGCATTACATTTGTTATTGCTGGTGATTTTAGGCAGACGTTACCAGTAATTCCGAGAGGAACTAGAGCCGATTTTATTCATGCCTGTTTAAAATCATCATTTCTCTGGAATTATGTAGAGTCTCTTCATTTACGTACTAATATGAAAGCACATCTCTGCGGAAGAAACACGGAATTTCTAACACAGCTATTAAAAATTGGCGATGGCACGATGGAAAATGAAAACGGTTTTATCACCCTAGATCAATCCATTGGAAAACTGGTTACAACTGTCGATCTTATTTCTGAAGTTTACCCAGACATCGAGAATTTATCAAACAAATCATACCAATGGTTATGTGAGAGAGCGATAATTTTACCGAGAAATTCCACAGCAGAGGAAATTAACAACATTATTCTTCAAAAGTTTGTAGCTGATTCTCGAGAGTACCTCTCTATTGATTCAGTCATTGCATCTGAAGATGGTGTTTATTATCCTCAGGAGTTTTTAAACTCCCTAACTCTATCAGGATTTCCACCCCATAAGTTGAATATGAAAGTTGGAGCTCCGATTATGCTACTACGTAATCTTCAACCCCCGAACCCTATGTAATGGAACCAGACTGCAAATTAAAACTCTGCGAAATAATGTTATAGAAGCTACTATTTTGACAGGTCTAGCATTAGGACAAATAGCTTTTATTCCAAGAATTCGGATAATACCAACTGATTTACCTTTTCAGTTCAAGCGCTTACAGTTTCCTGTCAAAGTTTCTTTTGCGATGATAGTTAACAAGTCTCAAGGACAAACTTATAATTTTGTGGGGGTAGATTTACGATCAAACTGCTTTTTACATGGACAATTGTATGTCGGGCTTTCAAGAACTGGTGATCCACATCATCAGATTGTTTTAATTCCTTTTGGTAATAAAACTAAAAATGTCACGTATACTGAAATTTTGTTAATGAAAAAATAGTTTTAAATTATATATTTGCATCTTTACAGCTTTAACAGAAAACCCTTTGTTATATCATAACGTTACTACGGTTATTATGGTTTATGCGGTAAAATTACTCGACACGGATGTTTTGACTCGCTAATATAAGCCAAATGTACTAAAAGCAACTTGTATAGGCGATGGCGTAGGAAAAAGTTATTTTTTACCGATGACGTGTATATACTTGAAACTCGTGGTGGTCCAATGGTTGGGAAAAATGATCTGGAAACGAAATAAAGGTATTCTAAGTAAAAAAAAGTAAAATTATTGTCCTTTTTTTTTTATTATCATTACATAGTTATATTAAAGTATTGCTGCAGCTGTAGGTTTTTAAGATCTTTCAAGTGATTTTCGACTCGCTCTGCATGTTGGCGACACTCTTTGAGAGTTGGGTAGTATGCGGGTGGGCACATGTAGCGACCTACTGGGGCTTTAAGCCTTTTATAAAACAAGCTATTGCTAGTTTTTCAAGCTCCTGGGGTGTTTGTGTTATCTCTGGATAGTTGTGTTGCGCTATTTTACCCGCTCTAATATATAACAATGAGATGCGGTCATTTCTGTGAGAGTAATTAGTCGTTGATTCATTTCTACGTCGTTTTCTCCAAATTATGCGTCAAATTGCGTCATGATATCGATTAAATGGTTGAGAAAATTTCGTTTATGGACTAAATAAGGAGATTCATTTATTTGTTGTTCCATGTTGAAGGTTTTTTTGTTTTACCTTTTTTTTTTTTAAATTTGTTTTTCTGCGTTTTTAGTCTGCATGGCTAAAGATGAAATTCGGGGTTCGTGTATTATAGGATATAAGTGTGTGTCGGTTTTTGGAAGTGCAGTGGCTGTAATGGAGTCTATAAATATAGTTTCATAAATGCTGTGTAGAGCGTAACCGTAAATAATTGTGTCTAGAATAAATTCAATGGTTCCAAAAATTATTATAGTGATAAAAGCGGCACTTGCTGAGTGAAAGAAATAAATTTTTGCCACATCTTATTCCAAGTATTTTCCGCGAGTGTTTGTAAAGTGTTTTCGTCAAAGATATGTAAGAGTGAGAATTGTTGTGCAAGTCTTGTTTTTTCTGTTATACTTGCTGCTACTTAAATAAGTACCGCTGAGCGTTCGAAAGACAACATGATATGAGTTTTTAATTTTTTTACATCGTTATAAGAGTCAATACCGCTATTTGCTAAGTTAAGAGAACTGGAGTATTTCTATGTTTGTTTTTTGTCTGACTTCAGTAAGTGTGGATCATCTTGGGTTGTTACTTGTGGTATCATTTTGTACCATTGTGATCCAAAATTAAACATTGCAGAGAGTACTGTATCGCATCCTGTTTTTATACTATATTTTTTAAGTACGTGAGTCCGTGGCGCCAAAAAATATCGTTTTTCATTCAAGAAAATTAACAGTTCTTGGTAGCATGCATCAGTTTCTCTTATGCGCACTTTTACATGTACACACTAGATAATATGCACTACCTCCCTGGCCAAAAAGCTGATGTAATCTGGGCCAGACATAAGTTGATAATCAAAATTATTTGGTAAATGGTGGCAATATTGAGTACGTTTCCGATGACTTTCTCTCAAATTCGCACTGTTTTAACAGTACGTCTCCGTAAAGTTCCTTCATTTGTTTTCTGAAGTGTTTTTCTATAAAGATAAATTTAGAATTGACGTATGTAAACATATCTATATTGTTAATATCGACGTTTTTTTCTGCTGGAAAATTCCGCTTCTCGGGATTAGTCAGCAACAATTTTTTTTGATGCTCTGTTTTCATAAGCGAGAAAAAGCATGTGCTTACAGCACCCATGTGTTTGAATGCGTATGGCCTATGGTCTGATTCGAGTACATACAGCGATTAAAACTCATTTTCGCTTCCGAGTGCCCTATTTACGTATTATGTAAAAAGATTTGTGTAGCGAATACGGTCGCATGAGTCAATAGGGATTACGTTTCAAAATGCGTATCCCTAAACGCTGTCAGTGCAGTGATCGTCCACATACATGACGATACATGACGTATTCGATTCGAGTTTTATTTTATTATTGTTTAAATCTATAGCACTGTAACGCTCTTTTAAAGTGGTAGTGGCGTAATCCTGTACGAATACTCTTTCATATTTCCCGTACGCGTCTTTATATGATCCTGCTTTTTCGCAGGCGCCGTTAGCGCCTACAGAGCCTGCTAACTTGACGAAAAAGGTCTACGTATTGTTGATGCGAATGTCTTGTATTATGTTGTTGTACAGAGTTATACGTTTGTATAAATGCATTCTATTGCATTCATCTCGTGTTTTTTCTCTGAGGTGTTCCATTTCCCTGTTTTGTATTCCTGAACTATGTGACCACATACCACAATGTTGTATTGTTCTCTTAAGCTTAAGGTGGCTCCAGTGGCCTCAATGTTAAAATTATAAATAACCCAACCGAGGTTAATAAAATTGAATTATATTCTTTGAATTCCCATCTTTCTATTCGTATAAAAAAAAATTAAGGTTGACGATGAAAATTGTAAGAAATCATGCTTACAAAATCGTAGTTTTAAGACGGGTTAGATAGGAAATGCAAGCTTACGCGATATACAACCTACTGCTGCACTTATATAAATAACCCGTAAGGTGTAAAAAACATACTATCTTGTATNCTCTAGACAATTTTTTCAAAAATAGTAGTGGTTTAGTCAAATCTCTAATATCCAGCCACGCTTCATTATTGATGTGCACCCCCGACATCAAATGCATCATTTTTACCTGAAAAATAATTTTAATCAAATGACTTTACACTGACGCGAGGGCAGCTTCAGGACTGTTTTTAAGTGTATTACAGAATAAGAATGAATATCTTTTCAGAAAATATTAAATTGATAGATGATGTCTAAAAAGAGTTGACCCACAGTATACACTAACATTTTTAGCATCAACAACTTTCGTCCAACAAGTCATGGTTTTATGCTCTTTATAATCTTGGTACTGGTCTGACTCAATCATCATCGCTGTTAGCGGGTTTAGATTTTTCAGGCTTTCTTTTTTTCGTATGCTTTTTAGTCTTTTTTTTCTTTTTGACTAGACCATCTCTTACTTCATGTTTTCTTTTGTTATTATTGTCCACTAATAGCGCTGCATTGGATTTAAGATTGTTCGGGGAATCTTTGGGCGTAGCTGTAAACTCAAATATTACTTAACAAATTATTAATCCAGTATAACAAAATTAGTATAAAAAAACGTAGGAACATACGAGTTGTATTAAGACTATGTTGCATTTGAATGTGGTCTGCATCAAATGGCTCATGTGTAAATCCCGAAATATCTAAGAGTTCTCTGTCAAGATCTTTTTGGCGTTGCTCTTCCAACTGTTCCTCTGTCATTGTTTTAGTAGGCGTACTTGACTTTAAAAATAATTTTTTTTTCGCTTTTGTGTCCCCAATTTTATCAACAATTCTATCATTCTGCTCTTGCAGTATTCTACACGTTACTTCAAGCTCCGTAATTCGGTTTTGTTGTGAGATTATTTTATTTGCCTGATTATCAATCATTTTATCTTTTTTCCCCAATGCCACGCTTAACTCATTGACTTTTATCTTGTAATCCATAATTGTTAAGGCCATAATACTATTTCCATCATTATCTACAAAAGGCTGAAGAGGCTTTGATGTGATTGCTTTCAACTTGTTTTGGAAAGCCGGCTCCCATTCTTTCAAACAGCTGCTCGCTATTTGTGCACCATCGGAACAAGGGTTTTTTTCTTTTGAAATGCTTTTTCCAGGACCAGCATTTTCTTCATCAGACCATTCATGGAACTATATAAATGATTTTAATTATTGAATGTAAATTCTACAACAGTACACTCGATCTATTCGAACAGAATTATTATTTCATTGAGTGTGTGTGTGCGTGTGCAAATTATTGCAACCACAGACGCAACAGGAGGTTGAACTTGCTTGGTGAATTGTACTAATGTACAGTATGTTTGCATCTGTGGTTGCAATAATTTGCACACACACTCAATGAAATAATAATTCTGTTCGAATAGATCGAGTGTAGTGTCGTAGAATTTACATTCAATTAATGAAAAATCGAACAAGTGAGTACGGGAGAATTGTATATGTACACGGAGAAAAGAATCAGGGGAATTTTTGCTGTAAAAGTAACGGTAATCCTGTGATATTTTGACTTTATAAGAAAATTTACCATCATTTTAAATGAATTGTTACCGTAGGTTACGGTAATTTTTTTGGTATCAGAAAAATTTATCCTAACTTTACTATACTTTTTACTGTGAGTAACGGTAAAAATTCCCCTGACGAATGTGTAAAGCATAGGTCACGTAGGCTGGGGAGCAGGGTAATACAGATATCTGTTAATCGACTACGTGAGAACAGGGACTCAGGACTCAGTTAACAGTCACTCAGAAGTCAAGCAATAGTTGATCCTGCTTATCCTGCTTGATCTTCGCATGTATAAGTACCAGCATTCGTCAATCAAGCTGCAGTAACTCCAACTCCTGGGGAAGAGAGCTACCACCGCTGGCAGCTAATATAATCAGTTTTTTTGATTGATCGACTCGCGATATTTTGAATTGGGCGTTCACATAATGACTCCTTACCTCTGATTAGTGTTT